TAAGCAGTGTTCCTCCATGGCCTCTGAATCAGTTCCTGCCCTGACTTCCTCCAATGATGGCATTCCACTGTAGACGTGTAGGCCAAAGACACCCTCTCTTCCCCGACTTGCTTTTGGCCATGGTGTTTCTTCCCAGCAGTAGAAACCCTTTCTGGAATGTGATAAAAAGAAACATATGCCGGGCGGTGGTGGCGCACGCCTTTAATCCCAGCACTTGGGGGAAGGCAGAGGCAGATGGATCTCTGTGAGTTCGAGGCCAGCCTGGGCTACCAAGTGAGTCCCAGGAAAGGCGCAAAGCTACACAGAGAAACCCTGTCTCGAAAAACCACAGAAAAGAAAAGAAAAGAAAAGAAACACATATAACTCCTAAAGCTTGAGACGCGGGTACCTGCCCCCCCCCCCCCCCGGGAACAAGGTCACTTCTCTGTGGGTGACTCCATGAGTCCAGGGAGGCCCCAGCAACAGCCCAGAGAGCCTGCTTGAGGCGCGACCCCTTGGTCACGCTGTGCGATTGAAGCACAGACGCTGCCTTCTGAGCGGCCAGCATCTTCTCTCCGACGGAGACTCAACTCTCCATCCTGGGTCAACCTTTTCAGATTGCGCTGAGTCACCGGGAAGAGCTGAGCAGGAGGAGCAGGTGTGAAAGAGCACCCAGGGACTCTGTGTGTGTGTGTGTGTGTGTGTGTGTGTGTGTGTGTGTGTGTGTGTGTGTGTGTGTGCAGGGATCAGGACCCTCCCGGTATGTGGAGTCCAACAGGACTGAAATGTGTGGATGGGTATGTGCAGCTGGCTGGGAGCAGGGTGCCCAGTTCTATTCTCTGGCCACACCGCAAAGGGCAGGGTGACCTGTATACCCTCCTATATCCCTGCTCTTAGTTCTCAGTGCAGCCTGGCACCCTTGGCGCTGCCCTCTCCCCGAGCCTGTTGGCTGTGGAGCTTTCTCTGAAGGCCACAGGACGCCAATCTTTCCAACTTCTGTGTTTTATGACCCTCTGGGACCCAGTGACAGCCTCACCCCACATCATTCAGAACAGCCTTCAGGCTGGCTTCCACAGCTGTGTGACCTCAGGCAAGTCGCTTAACCTCTCTGAGCCTCCATGACGCCATCTGCTTCATCTAACAATGGGAAAACAAGTGCTCATCTTGAGCGTCAGGTTAGTGTTCAGGCCTCAAGTACAGCCTCTGTGTTTATCCTTGTGAGCAGCCCGTGGGGGCCCTGCCCTGCTCTAGGAAAGGTTAGTTCAGTGGGACTTGGACTAAGTGGCTGGTGGCGCCCCAGGAAAAAGCAATTCGTGTTCACTCCCTACCCCCTTGGCCTTCCGCTCTAGTGGTGATGCAAAGCATCCAGGGAAAAACTCTGGGCACCTTCCCTCTCCTGAGGTGGTCTGTGCGTGCGCGCGTGCGTGCGCGCGTGCGTGCGTGCGCGCGTGCGTGCGTGCGCGCGTGCGTG